GCCACATTGGAAATAGCCAAGCATGGTGACACACGCCTTTAATCCCAGAAAGCCAGCCTTTAATCCCAGGGAGTGGTGGTAGAAAGCAAAAAGATATATAAGGCGTGAGAACCAGAAACTAGAAGATTTTGGCTGGTTAAGCATTCAGGTTTTTGAGCAGTAATTCAGCTGAGACCTTTTCTGGGTGAGGACACAGAGGCCTCCAGTCTGAGGAGACAAGACCAGCTGAAGAATTGGCAAGGTGAGATAGCCGTGGCTTGTTCTGTTTCTCTGATCTACCAGCATTGACCCCGATAACTGGCCTCGGGTTTGATTTTATTAATAAGAACTTTGAAGATTCATGCTACAGAAACCCATGATCTGTGCACTAATAGCTGTACAGCCCACATAGAACTAGAATAGGCCCTCTGGACACGGGAGGCAGTTGTTTAGTGTGAAATGTTAGGGGGGCCCCCACGTAGGGGGATCGAGATCTGTCCCAAGTGCATGGGTGGACTTTGTGAGCCCAGAGCCTAGGGTGTGACACCTTGCTCAGCCTTGGTGCAGGGGGGAGGGTCTTGGACATGGCTCAGCTCTTGGAGTGTGCCAGGCTCTGCTGACTCCCCAGGGGAGACCTTGATTGGGAAAATGTGGAGAAGTGGGTGGGTTGTGGGGGGAGGCTTGGGGTTGGGAAGAGGGACGAGGAGGGATCTGTGATTGGTATGTAAAGTGAATAGAAAATTTCTTAATTAAAAAAGTGTATGGCAAAACTTAAAACAATGAAAATCAAAGAAACACACAAACAAAACAACAACTTTAATTTTCTGTCCTCAGTCCCGGAGTGCAAATCCTGAACCTGATCAGTAGTTCTCTGTCTGGTCCCTTTTGTGCCAGGGTTCTTGTGGTGGTGTTTTCTTTGTGCTCTAACAAGTAAAACTTGCCTGGGGATCCATCAAAGGAAAAAGCCAGCCACTGTATTAAACACAGTGGTCAGGCAGTGGTAGGTAGTGCATGCCTTTAATCCTAGCATTCGGGAGGAAGAGATTCTTCCAGATCTCTGTGAGTTACAGGCCCCACTGGGAGGGAAGAGAGCCAGGTGTGGTGGCACAGGCCTTTAATCCCAATACTAGTTAACCATAGAGGTCTGGAGGTCAATACAGACAGACAGGAAGTGATAGAGCTGGTCAGAAAGAGGAAGTGAGGTAGCTGGACAGAGAGAGGAAGAAAGATGGCAGGGCACAGAAAGGTATAAATGGCATGAGGGGGCAGGAACTAAAGAGCAGTTCAACTGAGACCCTCAGGGGTGAGGACTCAGAGGCTTTCAGTCTGAGCATTCATGGAAACAGGATTGCCTCAGGAGCTGGCCATGGCTTGTTCTGGTTCTCTGATCTTTCAGCTTTTATACCAATATCTGTCTCTGGGTTTTGTCTATTAATAAGACCATTTAAGATTTGTATTACATGCTCTGGAGAACATCAGGAAAATCAAGGACTATTGACATTAAAAATGAAAAGACTGCTTGAGTGTGGCAGTGCACAGCTGTCATCCTAGTACTCCTGTGACTGGGGAAAAAATTGGGAAATTCCAGGGCAGCATGGGTTATACTTTTCTCATAAGAATGAAGCATTCTATTCCATTCTATTCTATTAGAATGAAATTCTAATGTTTAGCAGAAGCAGTACAAATTGGCACAATCACTTTAGTAAACTAGCAAGATCTACGAAAACTAAGCATGTCCTGCATGACTCAGTAATGTCATTTGTAGGTATCTGCATGCTAGAAAGCTATACTTTTATACACCAAAAGACCTGTATTAGAATAGTCTTAGGGGGAAAAAATGTTCATAGCAGTGCTTGGGGAGATGGCTCAGTGAGTAAGAGCATTTGCTGAGCAGACACAGAAATCCGAGCTCAAATCCTCAGCACCCCTATGAAAGCCAGGCAAGGCAGCTCATGCCTTTTACCCCAGCTTTGAGAGTTGGATACAAGCATGTCCTTGGATCATGCTGGTTAGGCACCCAGCTAAAATGGAGTTTCAGGTTCAGTGAGAGACCCTTTATCAAGGGAATAAACTGGTGTGTAATAGAGCAGGATATCTGAAATCCTTCTCTGGCCTCACCCAAGCATACATTTACAGATGCCCATACGTACCATACATACAAATAAAGTGTTCATCAAAATAGCCAAAGTTCAACTACAGTGCTCATTATCAGTAGAATGAGAACTAAGTGACAGCTGATTAAACATGGGACACTGTGGTGGTATATATTGCACCCCAACAAAATTTATCTGGGGATTAGAGAACAGAGCCAGCCACTTTATTAGACATAGGGCCTAGATAGTGAAGGCACACACCCTTAATCCTATCATTCTGGAAACAGAGATCCCTGTGAGTTCAAGGCCACATTGAGAACAGAGCTG